GTGAGGGAGTGAGCGAGTGATCGAGCGAGCGAGCGAGCGAGTGAGTGAGTGAGTGAGTGAGTGAGTGAGTGAGTGAGTGAGTGAGTGAGTGAGTGAGTGAGTGAGTGTGTGTGTGAGTGTGTGTGAGTGTGAGGGGGATGCTCGATAAATCATTTCATGTGGTCTGGCTGGCATTCGGGGAACGCAAATAGTCACGAAAGCCTCGGGGCGGGTACAGTAGGTTAAGCACCTCACGGCACCTGCCGTTCACGGCGGTACCTTTGCCAGAGTCTTGCTGCAGGTGCTACTAACCCTTCTTCCTGAGCCTGAGCCCTTGGGAAGTGGAGGGTGCAGGCCTCCAAGAAGACGGGCACCAGGAAGGCCAGCCAGGCGACGTTGTCCCAGGCTTTCCCTCCCTTCGAAGCGCTTCCGGCCGCTCCTCGGGGGCCACACACGCGCGAGAGCCGAAACCCGACCCTCCCCCCCTCCCCCCCACAAAAATGGTGGCTACTCTGTGTCTACTCTCCAGGCTTCCGTAGACAGGCTCGCGCCCTCCAGGGCCCTCTTGCAAGGGCTGGCGCTCTTCCATGGGCGCACCCAAGGGGGCAAGCCGCTGCGCGCGAGCAGCGGCTGGCCCTGTTTATACATGGACGTTCGATCTCAGACTTGAGCCGAAAAGGAGCATGCGCTTGCATGCTGGAAGTGGGTCGACACTTGCTGAAGTTGCTCCACGTCCCAAGCAAGAGCCAAGTACACAGCTCTTTCTCCCTTGAACCTGTCGCTGGCGTCTCACCATCACCTCCTGACCCAGTGGGGGAACTTCGTGGTCAAAAAAGACTGCTCTTCTTTCTGGCCTTCGGCTGCCGGATCGCCTAAGCCAGGGAGGCAGCAGGGCCGCCAGCTAGAGAATACTATACTACTTTCAGACATGGAACCTGCGGTCCCGGTCGCGCCGTCGGCTGCGGCTCCTCGCAGCTGCGAGGAACTGCAAAAAAAAAGCACGTTAAGAGCGGCTCAACTCTTACAGAAGTCTTCGACGCCGCTCCCAGGCGTTTTACAAGCCTCTCCCTGTGCAAAAAATAAGGCGCTAGCTAGTTGCGTCGACGCCGCATATCGCGTCGGGTTCCGATCAGTCATTGTGCGGTTCGGCGCCTCCAGTCGCCTTTAGTCCCCGTCTCCAAGTGTGGCGTCCGGGTGGCAGAAGCTCTTTGCTCCGCCCGCGGCTCGCGGAAAAAAAGAGCTCCGTCCCAGTAGGTGTACAGATGCCCCCAGGGGGCGGCCCCCACGCTTCTTTGCTTGGGACCCTTTTTCAACCTCTAATTTAGCAGAGGCCTGCAGTGCTCGATGGCTTTAGAAGCGGCTTGGCGCTGGGAGTCTCGTTTCCGACCCCTCGAGCGCTGGCCGCTGGTGCAGGAAGTTCCAGCTCGTTCACCCCAAGCTCATATAATGGGCTAACGGCGCAAGGAGTCTGCAGAGTCTTGCAGACTGTCTCAGTGACGGCTTTTTGCATTGAGTTGTGTACATACTCCCAGAGCCTCCGCGGGGACGAGATGGAGGCACTCCGGGATCGCGACCGCTCCGAGCGCCCCTGCCGAGAGCGAAGCAGAGCCTGAGCCTTTCTATTGTTCGCCGCAGGGAGTCCTCGGCTGCTGGCTGCACCTCGCGCGGCTCAGAGCTCGCGCGGACCGCGCCGCGCTCCGCTGAGCCGCTGCCGATCTCTGGGTGCCCGACTCGAGACTGCGAGTCGCCACCAGCCTCCAAACAAAGCGGCGCCGACTGACTTTCTGAAGCGAACACTGCACGGATGTGAAGTGGAGTAGAACGCGGAGGCCCCCTTCGCTTCTCGGCCTTGCGCACTTTTCGTGCGATGGGCTGGTGCTTGGCATTCAGGGCCACCTCGCCGCCCCGCACGCCCGCTCGGGACCGGCAACAAAAGTAGCCGCGAAAAGATTCGGCCTTGAAGTGAACGCCGTCGCTCACCTTCCACGTGGAGCTTCAGCAGAGCTCCGTGTTTCAGGGGAAAAAGGGGAGCCGAGCGGCATTCAGGTCTGTGAACTGATCCCGGTGGATCACCACCTGAAGACGCGACCACCACGGCTGAACATATGGGCCTCCCCCTCAAGCAGCCCTTTGCCCGGCCCCTTTGCCCTCTGCCCTTTGCCTCTTGGCCATAGAGCTGCCGCGTCTGTGCGCAGCTCAAGAAGCCAAAGCCCAGTTCCTCGCAGCGGCGCGAGCATCCCCCGGCCCCCGGGGCACCTTCCACTTCCACGTTCCTGCGCTCTCTAAGGACCAGGCAGGCTGGAAGCTGGTGACGAATCCCAGGTACCTCGCTGCGATCTACGACGCAGTTCTGCAGCTAAAACCGGCCGTGGTTGGCCCCGGGGCACTCTACATCGGACTCCGGAGTGCCGGGTGCCGGCAGCGGTGCTTCCACCTGACACCGGCGCTCAGGAGGGTCGTTTGCTGGATAGGGTCTTCTCTGTTTGAACAAGGCTGTTTTGCTGGACAAGTGTTTATGTAATTTATAATAGCTCTGGTTTCGCTTGGCTTTCCTTGGTTTGGCGTGGCCCCGCGCCGCGTCCCACACTTGCGTACTGGTTTTCTGCGGGGCCCAAACACGCTGCACCTGACCCCTTTGACTCCTTCTTTGATTGTCTGCGATGTCGTCCCACGGCTGTTTCTTCATCATCGAGCTGGGACAAGTCCCGTCTTGGTGCAGGCTTCTCCTGCATTTCCCACATCTTCGACGTGTCAGAGTCTGACGACTTTTCTAGGCATGAGTCTTACGAAATGACGAGCTTATGCGCCACTGAATCCCTCCTGGGCGGGCCTCCATGAGCCTCTGCCGCTCCTGGCAGCCCAGCAACAGTGGGATGGGACCCGACACTGCCAAGCGGTTCGGAAGTTCCTGCGTCAGCGCTTCCAACTTCCGAGCAAATGAAACCTGCAGATGGCACGCACAATCTCTATTTTGGAACGGTGGAGGAGTGAGGCTAGTATCGCGGAGATCATGGATGCTCCATGCAAAATCAGAGCCACCTGAGGGATGCCCAACTGATTCTGTGCGACTTTGAAGACGACGGAGTCACCAATCTGACACCGCTTGCAAGAAGTCTCGGTGGTTCGGCTAGGTCCTAAAGCGGGCACCTTCATGCTGCCAAGCTGGTCCTTCAAGATCTGAACCTCCGACAGGCGGGTTGAGAGGAGAGTGGAGGACCAAAGCCGAGGCTCGGACATTCGTGGGAAGCTCCTGCGCCTGTATAGCTCCAACCAAAGCCGCGGAAGACTTGATCAACCGAGCCACCACACCTGAGCGTCACTGAGGGGGACACTCAAAAAACAGACGACTCTCACGCGGTCTGTGTACGTCCCTCATGGATCTCTGACGCGGCGCCCACGCCCAAACGGCTTTTTTTATCAGTGCATTCCTTGTGGGTCGGGTGAGACAGGGGGGGAATGGCGCTCGCAGTCGCAATCGCGCCTGCGCGCTGGCTGCGGGTCTCCGAGTGAGACGCGGGCGCGCACCGTTTGGTGGCTCGGAACTTCTCAGCCGCTCCGCAGAACCGGGTCCTCGATCTCCTTCACCACGTCCTCTCTCGTTTCAATCTATTTCTAGAAAAGTCTCTGCAGCTCGACCCTGCAGCCCCCCGCGCCCACCACGCCTTGCCCACTTCCATGGCGCGTCTCAGGTCCTTGATGCGGATGTCCCTCTCCCAGGAGGCGACCTCTGAGCCGCGACACCCAACAAAAAAGGGCCCAAAAAGGAGGCCAGCGCCAGCGCAAGCAAGCGCAAGCACCACACCCCACACGGCAGAATCCGCTCCGCTGCTCGTCCGAGCGCCCGGGCCAGCTCCCGACCTTGGGAGGCCAACCTCTGCCGCTCCTCTCGCCGAGCCTTCGTCCTCAGTGCAGGGCCCCTTGTCGTCGATGTGTGCCCATGCAAAAAGACTCCTGCGTGCGTGTGTGTGCGTGTGTGTGTGTGTGTGTACATCTCTCTATATGCTTTGATCAGTTGAAGCTCAACATTTTCTATATACTATGTATATGCACACGTTGTAGTAGTCTGCTAAATGCTTAAGGACTGGCATCCCTTCCCAAGTCTTGGAGTTCTTGCGAAGAGATCATCGTTTTGTGGACTGTCCCTGTCACCCCTTCATTTTCAACTTTCGGATGTACCGCAATGTACGTTTCCTCTCGGGATCCGGCTTATCTCTCTTTTTGATGTTATGGGTGCAAGGCCCAATATGACCGTTTACACTTTGGGGTTTTGTGGCTCTTTGCGACTTAACATCTGCAATGACTTTCAGATTCCAAAGCCCAAGGAGAGCTGTTTATAGACCCAAGGAAGGGATCGAAGCGAACGGAGTGGGCGAGAGCCGTGGCCGTCCTATGAACCTTTTGCTTTGAGCTCCGGGCGTGCGCTTCACGTTCTCTTTGTAGGAGGCCAAGGCCATGTCCTTAGAGGCCAAGGCCGCTGAGGGCGCGCGGAGGGGTTCCTCTGCGAAGCTCGGATCCCGTCGTGGTGTTTTTTCAGCTCCAGGTTCTGCAAGATCTTGTTCGTTGCCTCAAGGGCACACAACAACAAGCGTTTCTCACCCGCTCGCGGGCCTTCTTTGCGGGCAACTCCAGGCTTCGGGCCATTTGTTGGTCCAGCTCCATCCTCCAGTGTTCCTTGCGCTGCCTTTCGTACCTCGTCAGTGCTCGCCGATCCTTTCTCCTAGAGAGAGCTCTTGTAGAGAAAGAAGATTGAAACCAGCGCTCACTCTTCCACTTCGGGAAGTGAAATGAAGGTCTCCGTGAAGAGAGGGAAGCTGTGCGACGAGGCGGCCTGAGGGGGGCAAGCAGCAGGGGCCCACCCGCAAACCCGCCCCCGCTTCAGTCACACCGCCCCTATAGCTCGCCTCGATGTACTCCCTCCGGGCCTCGGCACGGCGCGCCTCAGGGCGGTGCCCCCGCCAAACCCCCAAGGGCGGAAAAGCGGCAGCGCTAGCGCGCCTTGTTGTTCTCGATCTGTGCCAAGACCTTCCAAAAAAGGCCGCGAACGGAAGGCGCAAGGAAGAGGAGAAGGGTGTGGGTACGTGGAGCTCCGCTCGGCGAGCTGGCCTGCGCCTGGTTCTTGGCACAAAGGTCCTTCTTCTGCAGGCGCTCCGTTGCTTCCTCTTAATTAAAGCGTTTTTCTATTAGAGACGAGATGAGGAGATGACGAGATGCTTCTGTATGCTTTAACCGCGACGAGTCACATCATTCATTCCACCCTGCACGGTCTGTTCCCACGCCTGCGAGAAACAACGCGCCTCTAGGCCGCACTCTAGGCTACACGCCAACACCGGACGCAGTCGCGCTGTCGCCGCTCTGTCGCCGCACTCGCGCCTTGGCCTCCACCACGGCCTGCGTCAAGTCGCTTCGGGCCCCCCTGGAGCTGCCCTCTGCGTCTGCGCCTTCTTCGCATCGGCTCGCAAGGAATCCAGGTAGCGCTGGAAGGCGGCATCCTGTTTTGAGGCTCGAGGCTCGGCCGCTCCAACCCCCGCAGTCGCAGCGCAGTCGCAGCGCCTGTACCGCCTTCTGCTGCTGCTCCAGCGTCAGGCCCTCGTCCCTCGCAGCGAAAGCTTCTCTGATGTGCGGTCTTTGCAGTGCTTGCAAGCTCAAAAAAAACAACCTGCGCGAGCGGTGTCGCCGTCGAGGCCGCGAGAAGATCTCCTCCAGAGAACAAGAACCACGGCGACCTGCGCAGCCTTGAGCAGAGGCTGGTAAGCACTCGGCGCTGCTGCATCGAGAGGGCGCTGAGCTCCCAGACACCTGGATGGTGGCAATGGTGGCGACCTGCTCCCTGCCTACAGGCCCTTATAATGGCCCTTATACCAGATCCCAATCCCCTGTCCTCGCTAGCTGCTTCCCGCACGGCTGAGACCAGGTTTGCTTCGCTCCCTGCCACAGCCATGCCATGCTGTGCCATGCCATGCCACAACCTCTCGCGGAACTCCCATACTCCCATTGCTCATCTTCGCCTCGAGACTGCATGGCTGCTTGCCCGCTGCCCCGGGGCCGCTGTGAGCCAAAGCAAGGAGACACACACAGAGTGCGCGCGCGCGAAGGTGTCCGCAGATGTCTCGAGCTGAAGACTGGCGCGCCGGGACGAGAATTTCGGGGCTCTGGCCGACATAGGCTTTGGCTTCGGCTGCATGCTGCTTGCATACCTGCTCCACCTTAGGGGATCGCAGTGCTCCCTTTTTCAGGAGCAGCCCCCCTGCAGCCCCCATGGGCCCCTCACCCTGTTCACCTCTGCGCGCATCTGCTCCAGGGATTGGGACATCCCAGAGTCCTGCCGTGGCGACTCGAGCTGCGACAGCTGCGCGGCCTGTTCTCTCTTCGCTCTGGTGTCGGAGCTCCGGCGCGCCCAGGCCCAGAAAGCTCCCCTTAAATAGCAGCGAGCTGCACAGCTGCACAGCTGGAAGCAGAGACGCTCTTTCCGCAGCTGCGATCCGGACCGGAGCGGTGACGCCGGGTGGGAGCTGCAGGCCCCTGTGCGCAGCAGAGCTCTTCGCAATGAGATGCCAACAAAGCGAGCGGTGCTGCCCTCGGCTCCGGGGCTCGCACAGACCTGGTCGGAGGCCTTTTCAATTGGAAGAAATCTCTCGCAAAACTGTCAGACCAGTCAGACGAGACAGACTTTCTCTCTGCCCTCCCCCCCCCTCCCCCGTCCTTGCATCGGTGGAGGGCCTCAGAGAGAGAGAGAGAGAGAGGGAGGTGCCCAAAAAGGCCACATTCCAAAAGCTCAGAGCCCCTGCCTGGAACTGGCGGCGGTCCCGGAACACGCCCGGGGCCCGAGGGCGCGCCGAGGCCCAAGAGCCCAGGCCCACCGCCAACACCTCAGCAAACTGCACCCAAAAGATTTATATATAAAAAAACAGTCTTTGTTTGTTTCGTTTCGAAGCGCACAGAAAAACCCAAAAAATACAGGAGAGTGCCTGGAGCAACGAGGGGTCGAAGAGCGGGTGGCCCTCCAGGTGGCCCTCGAGCTGCGCCCTCAATCAGCACAACAAAGTGCCAGATCATACTTAGGGTCTCTAGAATCTGGAAATTTCTGTGCCAGCCTGCAGTGTGAAACATCACGACACCCAGATTTTCGCTTCTTTCTCAAGCACAAAGGCTGTTAATGCCGAAGCAGAAACATACTGTTACTCTGCAAAGACCCTTTTCCCTCTTGGGCAATTAAACATCACGTCTTACCGTGTTCTGCTTGTCTCAAATTTCAGGAGTCACGTAGCAGACTAGCCGCACCTTGGCCCTTCATCAGTCCAATTGATGTAGGACCCCACTGCCAATGCCAAAGTGGGGACTCCAATTTGCATACGGGTCTATCTGAGTGCATGTTTCTTCAATTTTCTGTTTATGTCAGAATAAGGTCATCGTCATGCATACAGCACACGATCCGAATTGGTTGCTACACACTGTTCCTTAGTTTGCTCCGTGTATCATGACGAGATGCTCGTCATGCAAACACTTTAAACACAAACTTAATCGACTTTTGGCCAAACCTAATCGTTGTATGTTTCACCTTTTGGTGTTCTGACAGCCTTAATCTACAAGTAGGAATGAGTACACGTGGCCCGTGTTTGAAATATGACCAGATCATGGTAATGTAAGCTACATCCAACTTCTCACAAAGTGTATGTCACGGTCTTATGTAAATCACACAAATGTTGGTTTAAGCAGTCATCTAATCTACTTACGGGGAATCCTCGTTAGCGGTGTATTCATGTTTCGTGTTTGAATGACAGCAACTGAATTATTGTATTGAAATCACCCCACTTCCTACATACATACATACCTACATACCTACCTACACACACACATACATACATACATACATACATACATACATACATACATGCATGCATAAGTACATATATACCATCTATGGTTTGAGCGATCAATAACACATCTCCTCCACTCTCCCGCCCCCCCCCCCCACTCCCTCTATCCTCTTCTAAAGCTGAAAGACCACTGCTACTCAGAAATTTTGCATACCTGCATGAGTACATCAATACATACATTTACATACATACCTAGACATCCCGTGCGCCAATAATTCCCCCCCACCCCCCCATGTCCGGGCCAAACCCCCCCCCCCTTGAGATGTAACATGGGCGTGTATCCCATCGCACAGCGCACAGGAACACAAGCAACGCACGAGTGCCTTTTTACTACAGGCGCACAGCTGTAGATCGTACTTTGCTACAACCTTGAGCAACAGCTATGGGTACATGCAAAGTGATACGTGAAACAGACAGGCACCTGGATGTGTAACATTCAGTGTTTCAGCTAGGCACAAATTCAACACACGTAGAGGTGCATGGCAGTGAAGTCGCCCGTTATTGCCCAAGTGAATTAAACGTGGAGTAAGTATGAACTACAACTTGTGACTTGCGAATATCTGTACATCCTCAGCTTGCAGGGAAACAACTTATGAAAAGAGCAGAACATGCACACAAAACGCAAACGGAGCTTCGGTCGAACCCCAAAGATTGCCCACATGTTCAGTTCCTTTTCCAAATGGAAAGCATACTGCACAAAAAAGTAGAGCCTAGCTCAGCAATATCATCGGCTTGGGGAGAGGCGCACTTGACTCTAAATAAAGTATCTTCTCAATAAGAAGTATCGCTTTTTGGACTTCTTGGGCAAATGGTCTTAGGAAGAACCTGCTCCTGAGAAAGGCATCTTATTTGGAAACGAACAGTAGTAGCAGTACTCAGGGATACATTTTCCTGTGCGAAGCATTCCGTCACTCAGTTGTTTCCTTTGCCCTGGCCTTTATCTTTGGAAAACTTGCCTCCCTTGCCACCTTTGGCTTTTCCAGCAGGGGTTGTGCGGGTTCATGCAAGAGGACGGTGCGAACCCGAAGGGGCTGCACCAGAAGCTCCTTCTCCCTGTGGAAAGCATGTCTCTGTAGGTGCTGGCTGTGTGCGTTCAGCAGATCCACGGGCCTGTTAGCCTCCTGTCTCGCTCGTCGTCGTTGTGCTGCCGCTTTGACCGTGTCGGGATTACGGTGCATCGATCAGGAGAGGAGTATTCGCGTCGTAGGTCAAGAGGTAGGCTCCACTGGTGGAGTTGAGCAGCCATTCGGAGACACTGACCTTGTATTCGCTGTAGCATTGTGGTCCAAGCCTCCAGGAAATAATCAAGGGTGCTTTGATACCTGGTACCCATGCTTTCTTGCTTGCGCCCGGTGGCCCGATACAGAGCTACAAGCAATAAGGAAACATGGTTCCCAAAGCCTCGTGAGCCAGATCGACCTTTGAAGCTGCGACACCGTTGTCCACGAGCGGCTCAGAGATCAGCATGCGCGGACGATCCCAATTGCTCAAGGGTGCGCAGACTGGCAGGCTCGACAATGTCGGGTAGCCGGGTAGCCCACAAGCATCTTCCACTGACCTACATGATCGTGGCGTCACCTACGACTATTCTTGCAAGCAGCCAAGGCAACAGAGGAGATTTCCCTGATTCATCCATGACGCATAAGCCATAAGCTCACGCGAGCTGGCTGTGACACAATCCGTGTCGGTGTTTTCCACTATCGTTTCCTCGGCTGTGACGTCTGCTTTTCTTCTGCGGAAGTCCTGCTATGAATGCTCGGACCTCAGC